ACAATTTAAGTGCTTAAATATAGGACAGATGTAGAAGTCAGAAAATGGGGACAGAAAAGGCCCCATCCGCCACTTCATATTCACCTGAAATATGAAGCTGGAGAGAGAAATGCAGACAGGGTGGCAAATCTTTGATTGATTGTGTAGCAAGGTTAATAGCAGGGTTTTCCTTGGGAAGGAAATATAAGGAGATTGTTGAACAGTATATAAAACTGAAATGAACTAATTGTTTAGCTGATATAATGAGAAGACTGTATTGGAACATCAATGTACCAATGTCATAATACTGAGAATAATGCAACTTGGGATAAAAAAAATTGTCACTGAATAATTTTCCCAGGAGAATATGTGTAAAAACCACTAAGGAAGGCCCTTGATGTTTCTTGTTCCATTAGTGAGGGGCATACGATCCAAAAGAAAGGACCCCTTAGAGATAGAGTGGAAATCTAAGATTGCTTAAGCAGAATATGGAGTTGAAAGATTATGCTTGTGAAAAGAGCATGTGATTATTAACCATGTTGAAGAAAGAAACTGAGCTACAGAGGCAGGGCAGGGTCCCAGAAGTATGGAAATGAAGTTTTCATTTGACTCAGGTCAATCTCTGTAAAGAAGTATGTGCAACTGAAGCCTAGAATAACTAGGGGCTGAGTGCAGTGTGTACTAACTGGGAGTGAAAGTTATTAATAAATTTGAAACCAGTCAAAGAAAGAAATGTAGTTTCATGTCTTAGACTATGTCAAGGAGTTAATAATATATTACTTAGTAGCATCTGACACATAATAGGTGCTCTGAACACATTTAGTAAATGAATAAGGGTACTCTCTTTTATACATACTTAGCCACTTGGCAAAGTGGCATCTTATGAACATGAGAGTTTATTCATAAGTTCTCTTAGAGAAAAAGTTACTTCGAAATATAGACTAGAAGTTGAATGACAAGTTGTTTCTGAGGGATGCAGTATGCATTAGAAAATTGCAGTGGAATCTAGAAGTAGGGAGGGATATTTCAGGTTATTCAGTAGCCCAACCCTCTTATTACATCGATGTGGATTTGAGGCCCAGTTTTGTTAAGTGCCTTTCCATATATACATCAGGGTTCAGTTCCAGGAAATTGAAACCACTCTAGCTATTTTAAGCATGAGAGGATTTAATATACAGAAGTAAGTGCATTTGAAATTGTTGGAAATAATGGAGGAGGAGTTTCTAGCTTGTGGATCCAGAAATAGTTCCCAGAATGACGCAGCAGACTGGGCCCACCAGGCAGCTGGTAAATGGAGCCTTCAAAAAGTTCATGGAAAAAATGCCATTATCTTTCCATTTCATTTTCCCATGAGCATCCTAAATTAGCCCCCTTGGACATCTCTAAATCAGAAAAGGGGGGAGGCACAGGGTGCCACTGGCCCTGTGGAAGCCAACAACTTGCCATTCTAGACGTTATCTGAGGGTAAGGAAACTTCCACTGCTGTAAGACACCTGACGTCAGCACCCACACAGCCAGTGACTAGACTTCAGTTTCTACCACGAGAAAGCTCCAGTTTCCCAGTGTCTCCAAAATCACCTTTGCTGCTTCTGAATTCCTAATCCCTCGTATGTACAGCTAATTGCTTTACCCCAATTCTCAACTGGAAGTACAACAGCAAATATATTTGGAGACTATAGTTTCAGCTTCTAAAGGCATACATCCCCCAAGGAATCAGGAATGGAAGCTGATGACAAATTACCATCTTTTCCACTGCTGTTTTCACGAGCAAAGAACTAACTACCGCTCCTGTTATTGCAGTATCTTTTTTTAAACCGGAGGACAAGCCCCCAAAAGAAAAGGACATAGGCTCAGCCTGTTCAGGCACAGGAACTTGTGCGGATGACACAGGACCAGTGGTTCCTTCTGCTGTGCACAGGGTCACGATGGGCCAGAGCCTCCTTGATGGCCTCTGTCAACAACGAAACCAGCAAGAGGCCTGTGACCACTTAGTTCAAATAAGGACATATTTGAGAGTGAAAAAAACATTGCTATTTTTTCTAAGACGACCCACATGACAAAACTGTCCTTGGGAAACTAATCCATAGCCTGCTAACATTGTTGATGACTGTGCTTCAATAACCCTTGAAACCCACATCTCTCAACCCAAATCTCGACTTATTTTTTTTGTTCCATCCTAGTTGAAGTTCTGTTCCCCAATTTGTCAGTCATTTTCGGGTCTTCCACAGATATGTGCATTGTCTAAAACTCTTCCTGTTTCTCCACTTGTCTCACTTCTGGGGATTTTTGGAAATGCAGCTCAGATATCTCCTTCTATGCTAACCCTTCTCAGATTCTTCCTGTTCGAGTGCATTGGTTCTTTCTCAGGAAAGGGGAGGAAGGTAGGAAGGAAGCGAATAAAGAAGGAATGCAAGGAGAGAGGAAGAAAGGAAAAGAAGGGAAAGAGAAAAGGGGGAAAGTAAGTGGTTATGAACCATTTTGTCATCCTGAAGGGTCCCTGGCGGGACAGTACGTGTGGGTTGGGCTGCTGTAACTGCATGGTCCATCGTTTGGAAATCACCAGCCACCCAGGGCGAGGAAGGCAAGGCTTTCTGCTCCCATAGAGTAATAATCTCAGAAACCCACAGGGGCAGGTCTACCCTGTCCTAGAGGGTCGCTGTGAATCAGAGGCAACTCAATGGCAGTGGGTTTGGTTTTGGAGTAATTCTGCCATTCTATTTGTGATATTAATTTAAGTATTAAAAACACTTAAAACTACTGAATGGGTTGAGATATGGACTCACAAGCTCACTTAGAAATAGCCTTTGCTACCTGTGGTTTGAGTGTCCCTTCTGACACTTCAAGTAAATGTCATTATTTCTGTTTTTCATCACTCTCACCAGTGAAATGTTTTCACTGCCACATGAACCTATTGAATGTGTCATTCCTTAAAATTGAGTCAAACTTTTTTTTTTAGTTTCTTGAACTAAAAGTGAAAAAAATAAGAATCTTTAAAATATAAAAACAACTTTTCCTCTCCCTTTTCCTCCTCTTCCTTTTTTCTTGCGACTCTTGGAGGATAGTTTCCTGCTTTCAATATTTTTACAGTACCTTTTTGCCTTAGCCAGCTTTTTTGGGTTTTGTTTTCATTGAATTTAGTTGTTGCTGTTGTTCTGACTCATAGTCACCCTACGTAACAGCACACAAGAAAATATGTACAGGAAGTCATTTAGGGAATGCTAAATGGCTTTTTAAAATTTTAAGTTCTCCGTAATATTCAGAGTTAATCTTGTAAGCCTAAGCTTCTAAGAGTCAGTGCTTACTCAAAATGACCCTATACATGACAGAAAAAAGCACTAACTACTCAGTCCTGCAATGTCCTCACAATTGCTGTGTTTGCGCCTTTTGTTGCAGTCAATGTGTCAGTCCTTGGACAAGGGTTTTCCTTTTGTTTTACTGACCCTCTTTTTGACCAAGCATGATGTCCTTTTTCAGGGATGGATTCCTCCTGATAACATGTCCAAATACTTGAGATCAAGTCTCCTGAGCTAAGGAGCATTATGGCAGTGCATCAAGTCCCTTACTTACTGCATTAGGCAAATCTGTTGCACAAGACTTTCTTGAAAAGCAAGGAAGATTATATGGGCTAAATATTGAATGATGCAGGAAGCATCAAGAGAAGATAAAAAGAATACACAGTCACTAGATCAAAAACGAATGATTTGACAGTCCACCCTTTTCAGGAGGTAGCATATGAGCAAGAACCAGTGATGCTAAGGAAGAAGTTCAAGCTGCACTGAATGTATCAGCCCAAAACAAGGCCAGGAATTGATGGAATACCAACTGAAATGTTTCAATAAGCTGATGAAGAGCTGGAAGCACTAACTCATCCCTGCCAGAAAGATTGGAAGACAGCTACTTGGCCAACTGACTAGAAGAAATCCTTATTTGTACACATTCCAAAGAAAGGTAACTCAACAGAATGCTCAAATTATAGAACAATATCATTAAAATTACATGCCAGTAAATTTTGCTTAATATCATCCAACAATGGTTACAGCAATACATTGACAGGGAGCTACCAGAGGTTCAGGCCTGATTCAGAAAAGGACATGGAACAAGGGAGATCATTGCTGGTGTCAGAGGGATCTTGGCTGAAACAGGAATGCCAGAAATATGTTTATTTGTTTTTTATTGACTATACCAAGATATATAATTGTGTGGATCATAACCAACTCTGGATAGAGAGCCTTAAGAAGAATGGGAATTCCAGAACACTGTGCTCTTGAGGACCAGTTGCTAACTTCAAGATATACTGAGAAAAGATTGAAGTTGTCAGGATTTTGTCTTGCTTTGATCTCCAATCAATGCTTTTGGAAGCAGCAGTCAAGAGATCAAGGATACATTGCATTGGGCAAATCTGCTACACTAGACTTCTTTAGAGTGTTGAAAAACAGAGAGGTTGCTTTGATGACTTATGTGCACCCGACCCAAGCCATTGCACTTTCAATTGTCTCATATGTACGTTTGAATTGTGGTTCTGGAAAAAAATCTTGAAAGTACCGTGGACGCAAAAAGGACAAACTTATCTGTCTTGGGAGAAGTATGGCTGGAGTTGTCCGTAGAAGCAAAGATGGTGAGACTCATTTCACATGCTTTGGATACATTGTCAGGAGAGACCAATATCTAGAGCAGGACATCGTGATTCATAAAGTAGAGCAAAATAGAGCAGGGCCTGCAACAGGGTGAATTGGCACAGTGGCTGCAATGATGGACTCCAACATAGGGACGGTTGTGAGAATGGCATAGAACTGGACAGCAACACATGCATATATGCTTATATATACATATATAGATCTAGAAATCTCTTGCAACAATTTTCAGTTGCCTCAGATTCATGTGACACTTGCACATTGAATAAGGAGACTGAAGAAGAACAGATACATATGAATTGTTCTGGCGACAACTTTGCTCTAGTTCTTGAATGCTCCCTCACCCCAATATCATGATCCCAATTCTACCTTACAAATCCAGCAAGACCAGTGCTCGCTTCAGCTGCACATAGACTAACGTTGCAACGACACAGGGAAGATTAGCATGGCCCCTGCACAAGGATGACACGCAAACCTGGCTAGACCAGGGGATGTACACTGGTACAGGTAGGAACTGGAAACACAGGGAATCCAGGGTGGATGAAGCCCTCAGGACCAGTGGTGAGAGGGGCAACACTGGGAGGGTCAGAGGAAGGTGGGGTAGAAAGGGGAAACCAATTAGAAGGATCTACATATAACCCCCTCCCTGGGGGACAGACAACAGAAAAGTGGGTGAAGGGAGTTGTCAGACAGTGTAAGGCATGACAAAATAATAATAATTGATAAATTATCAAGGATTCATGGCAGGGGTGGGGAGGGAGGGGAAAATTAGGAGCTGATACCAAGGGCTCAAGTAGAAAGCAAATGTTTTGAGAATGATGATGGCAACAAATGTGCTTGACACAGTGGATGAATGTATGGATTGTGATAAGAGTTGTACGTGTCCCCAATTAAATGATTAAAAAAAAGTATCATGGACGGTTAAAAGGACAAACCGATCTGTTTTGGAAGAAGTAAGGCCAAGAGGGCACCTTAGAGGCAAGGATGGGGAGATTTCATGTTACATACAATGGACATATTGTCAGGAGAGACCAGTCCCTGGAGAAGGACAGCATACTTAGTAAAGTGAAGAGACGGTGAAAAAGAGGAAGGCCCTCAAGGCGATTGACACAGTGGCTGCCACAAGGGCCCAAGTATAAGACTAAATGCAAGTGTGCGTGGGGCGGGCAGTGCTTCATTCTGTCGTGCACAGGGTCACCATGGTCCACACGGAGTCAAGGGCCCCTCACAACAACAGCAACCTACCTTACAACAATAAAAATGAGTTTGTTAGTTTGTTTTTTATTTCACAGTCATTCTTATGCTTGGGCCCACTTTTACAACCTGTGGTTTTCCTTTTTCACTGCCCCTCTACTTTATCAAGCATGCTGCCTTTCTCTAGGGTGCAGCGTCTTCTGATAACATATTCCAAGTACATGAGACAAATCTCTCCTCTTTACTCCTAAGGAGCGTTCTGTCTGTACTTCCAACAAGACAGATGTGTTGGTTCTTTTGACAGTCTGTACCAAACCAAAACCCAACTCATTGCCACCGAGACAGTGCCGACTCATAAAGACCCGCTAGGGCAGAGTAGAACTGTGCCTGTGAGTTCCAGGGACTGTGCGGGAGGAGAAAGCCCTGTCTTTCTCTCTTGGAGTAGCTGGTGGTTTCAAAGTGCAGACCTTTCAGATTGCAGCGTAATATGTAACGCCTGTGCCACCAGGGCTCCTTGGTAGTCCAAAAGACTTTCAATATTCTTCACAAGCTTCAAAATTCAAATGCATCGATTCTTCCTTGGTGCTCCTTATTTTATTAGGCTGGGTTGACTATAGAAACAAATCCAGAGATACTTGTGTGTGTAAGAGAGAGCTTTATATCAAAGAGAAGTTGTATATTGAGAAAACATCGTAGCCCATAGTTCCAGATCAAGTCCATAAGTCTGACATTAGCCCATATGTCTGATACTAGCCCCCGAATTCCTCTTCAGACTCACGTAGCACATGCAGTGATGTCGAATGTAGGAAGACCCCAGGCTGGTAGGTGATGTCTTGTGGATCTAGTTGGGGTGGAAGCATGTCAGTACTGGTGCACGTCTCCATGTGTCTCCAGCTCTCTGAGTGTAGCTCTTCAACAGGAAGATGAAGGCAGAACGAGAGAGAGAGACAGAGAGAGAGAGAGAGAGAGAGAGAGAGAGAGAGAGAGAGAGAGAGAGACTCAGAGACCGACCTCCAGGGAGAAGAAGAGGAAGTTCCCAGAATCTTCATGAGAAGGCTGTGCACACAAGGAGACACCATCAGGCTGTGCCTCATTGACAGGCTAGACTCCACCCCTGCACTTACTTACCAAGTTGACATGAAATTAGATAAGTACCACACTCATTCATTGTGCAAATTCACATGCATATGAGGTGATTGAAACTCCCATGCCTTTGATCAATCACACTAATCCTCAAAGTCACATCCTTGCTTGTCCACACCTTCAGTAGCTCTTGTGCTGCATATTTACCCCATGTAATATGTCATTAGAGCTACATATCTCTATATAGATCAAACTGACTATATTTTTATATAAATTCAGTAAAATGTTATTTAGTAGATAGAGCGATAAGTAATATGTGAAGGTGTGAAATTATGTTATCTTAGGTTTGCATATTTACCCAATGTAATATGTCATTAGGTCTACATATCTCTATATAGATCAAACGGACTATATTTTAATATAAATTCATTAAGATGTTATTAAGTAGATAGAGCAATAAGTAGTATGTGAAGGTGTGAAATTGTGATATTACCTTAGGTTCAGTTCTTTAGAAAGGTGAAACTGTGAAGCGTACACACAAACCCCTCCTCCTCCCAGATATGTGGCTTCTTCAGTTGTGAGGCTAGCAACTCCTCAGTCTGTGGGTCAGACCTCAGGCTGAAGGCTTCACCTGATTCATGTAGCATCAAGAACAGAACAAATTAAGGTTGACAGGTGAGACAGTCTGAGTATTTGTAATACTGTTAATATTGTACCAGTTAGAGGGCCTTGTTTTCATTTTTCTTCTTCTTTTTTAACAAAATGTCAAAATTTCATTGTTGGCAAGGACAGCATATATTGATAATAACAATAATAACAGCTTATTGGATGTCAAGCGCTGCCACGTGAAGGAGAATGGATAAAGAATCTCAGTACGTGCACATGATGGAATATTGTGCATCCATTAAAAACCGAGGAAGCCACAAAGACCACGTGGCATGGCTGGAGCTGGAGAGCCTTACACTGAGTGGAATTAACCAATCACCAAAGGACAAATATGATATGAGACCGCCGCTATAAAGGAAAAAAGCAAGATGAAGAATTTCATGCCAAAGGGAACATACTTTGGAAATTGTCAAGTTGGGAAGGGTGAGGGAGAGAAGATAAAGTCGGTGCTATCTGTGGTTCCTGCTGACTGCGGTGCAATGGAGGACAGGCGTCCACAACAGGAAGAAGAGAACCCAAGGAGCAGATTTACTGGGAGTGTTGATTAGTCCTTTAACTGTGGAGTCTAAAGTGAAGTTCTGAGATTTAACCCCCACCTAATTAACAATAAACAATTAACAATCATTAGAGAAGTAAATAAATGATTCAATAATTTATAGTCAGTACATCAAGTCATAACATTTTCCAAAACTGGCAAGAAGACAAAGTCAGTCTCTCAACTTCTCTGTGATTTGGGAGGGAAAGCATTGAATTGTTGCTTTACTCACTTGTAAATTTATGACTTTATGCAACTGCCTAACTGTTCTGAAGCCTAATAAGTAGTTAAATTCTATAATATATGTAATTTTTTCATGTGCTCCTATTGAGATAACAAATATGTTTGGAGGTTCTTCTCAACTGGAGACTCCCCTCCCCTTTTTTCCAGCGAATTCTGTTTACCACCAATCACCTTTTAATGCTCTGCTTGGCTGCATTCAGCTCACGGAAGCACTTAGCACAGCAGGACACTGACATGGTGGTACCGAGAGTGTTCAGTGCCCAGTGAACACAGTCACTCAGCCTTGACTTCCCTGCTCCCTTCCACTTATTCCTCCCAGTCCTCTTAAGCAGTAGATAGATCTGATATGGGGTGTTGGGACATGATTAGCATGATATGTTAAATTATTTCCATTTTTATGCTATATGGGGATAATGATAGAATTAGTTATGGAGATTTTGTTACACTGAGTCAGCTTTTAAACTACAAGGCTTTAAAAAAATTATTAAAAGGTGTGTCCTAACAGTTTGCTAATGTGATCTGTCTAAACTAGCAGTTGTGAAAGTGATCCAATCTATATATACCTTTATTGCTATATAGTATTAATTCACCTCTCCTCTGCATATAAATTCAGTACAGTGGTGGGGATCACAAGGTTAACTCCTGCAGAGTATATAGTCTACCTATTTATTAACTACCTTGTATTGGTACTCAATAAATATGCATGAAGTGCAGATCAATGCAGAATATAAACTTGTGCTTTTCAATTTTGCATTTAATTAAGGTTGTTATTGAACAAATTTATCTTCATTGTATTTTTTCATGATTTTAACAGAAAGTGAGCATTCTATATTACCTTCTCCCTGTATTTTTTCTGCATCAGTGCTTTTCTGATCATTTTAACTCCATTCTTGGGTGGTGGCTATTAGTAATTCATTTCCCTCTTGACTAATACCAGATTGTTTTTCTCAGCGCTATTTTAAAATAATTATGCTGGCTATATTATTTATAAATTCTAAAATAGTTTTTTAAATAAAGACTTTTCTTATCAGAGATATAGAAGCAGTAGTTTTAGTAGTAATAGTAGTAGAAGTAGAAATAGCAGTAGCAGTAAGTGCTATTTTGTAAATTCACTTATTACCCCCAAGCACTTTGTATATGAGGGGGTACCCCCCTCAAAGAAAAACTGGAATTATGCTTGGCAGAGCAGAGCACTGTAGTATGCATTTTGTAGCATGCATTTTACCCCCCTAGGTGAGCATTGAGCAATTTGCTCTGAGGTAGTGCACCCAGTGGCATCACCTGAGAAGGTTCTCTCTGGTTAAAGAATTTTTTTGTAAAAGCAGTTCTTTCTAATCTTTTTTTTTTTTTTTTTGTAATAATTGATTTAAGAGAAAGGTGTGTGACTGTGAAATTTTGTTTCCTGCTCTGGAAAAATTCTGGAGAAACTGTTGTGATGTTCAACACATCTTACAAGAACAACACTATGGGGAAAAAACTCAAGCATATCAGTGGTTTTCTCATTTCAGAAAAGTGAAATGTCGCTTGATGACAAACTTCATTCCGGACTTTTGTCAACTTCCTGAAAAGACAAAAATGTTGACTCATAGTGCATTTGGAGTTCATTCCACCAGGTCAAACTGTTAATCAAGCTTTCTATTTAGAGGTTCTGAAAAGATTGTATAACAGTGTGCAACAAAAAAGGCCTGGTTTGTAGCAAATGGGGACTGTGTTTGACAGTACGACATGCACCTGCTCACACAGCCATCTCAGTGAGCCAGTTTTTGACAAAAAAAAAAGCATGCCTCTCTTGCCCCATGCACCTGACTTACCTGATCTTGCTCTGTGAGACTTCTTTTTGTTTCTGCGAATACAGAGGGGCATGAAAGGATAGCGATTTGACAACTTAGAAGAGGTGAAGAGAAAACGAGGGAGGTATTGTAAGTCATTCAAACTGATAAGATTGAAAAAATGTTTTCAAGAATGGAATCGCAGATTTGGCTAATGTATTAAGTGTAATGGGGATTACTTTGAAGGCGATAAGGCTGTTTCGTAAAAACATTTAAAAACATAGCTTTTGGGGAAAAATTAAATTTGGGAGTTACCCCCTCGTGGTGTTTTATCATTGTAGTGTTTTATCATCATTAACTCAGTCCCTCTATAAATCTGAAAAGTCACTATTGTCCCATTTTACAGATGAGGAAATTGAAGTTCACAGACTTTAGGCATCTCAATAAAGTAAGTTCATTCTGCTGGGATGGGAAGTCAGATGTGTCTGACCCAAAAATCCATGCAACCTATTCTTTGACAATGACATGATAAAGCAGGCATGTTTAGGAAAATTCATTATGAATGAAGATATTTCATAGCCCCTTATCTCTTTGTATTTACATTGATGTGCATAGTTTAAAAGTGTCAGAAACAATGTCATTGTATTTCCTTTGAATGTTTGAAATTGTTCACTTTAAGAATCAAGGGAAAGAAAATTGAACAGAACAGGGGGAGACAGGTATAGAGGGATTCTTGATTTAGTAAAAGCAATGGTTGAGAGGGAAAAATAGCTTTTCTCTCCTTCCCAGGTTCCCCATACATCAACAAAAAGAGTTTCTCTTTTATTACAAGAAACCCACCTGTTCAAGAAAGGATGTAAAGATCACACTAAGGTGTGCTGCCAGACAGAGCAGAATGAGCCATCTCTCTGAAACGAATATTCGGTTCTTGGTTCATATATCAGGTTGAATGATATGATAATGCTGCTATTATAGTTCTATTGGATGTTGTCTCTAACAATTCCAGCTAAAAGAGACATCTTTTAGAACAGGAAGTCTGTGTATGATTTTCTTATTTGCACACTAACTATCACAACCTTTCTCATTCTCAAGTCTGTGGGAAGACCTGAGGCGGAGGAGGAAGGCGGGCAGGCACGGTGTCTTCCCCTCAGCACAGCTTACAGCTCTGAGGAATCGACCTCTGCGGACAGTGTTCTGTTTGATGTGGGTGGTGGTGAGAGTTATTTCTGTCTTGTGGAACCAATGTCATTCCCCGATGAGGAGAAAATTCCCAGCTAATGAACTCAGAGTTGGGTTTGGGTCAAAGACTCTTACAATCTAGCTTTCAAACCTAAATGCTCCTATTCAGAGGGAATGCCCACACTGTTGGGAGTGGGTGTTGCTGTTTCTATATAATTTTTAAGCATGGAAAAGGTGTGAGGGGGGTTGTACTTCCACTGCTTCTAATCCTGTGTGGCTTGGGCTTGGTCACCAATCTTCCTGTTCAAGAGACACCTTTTCCCCTAGTTCAACTTGGCTGAAGCCACAGAAATGGAGAGGAAAATGCCTATTCATTAACACTTGCCACTGATTCAGGTGGCGTACGGATCCCAGTGCAGCATTAAATAAAACTCCATATAAAATATAAGTCAGAATTGGTTCCATCAAACTTGTTTTTAGATATGTAGTGGTTTTAGACATCAAGGTTGTTTATAAAATGAAATTCTTTCCAGGTTTATAGATTTGAAATGGAAATGAATATACTGTCCACTTTATACCAGCACTTTTGAGTAACCTTATATTTTAGGAGATTTTGTTTTCTTAAATTCAATAAAACCTTTGCTTTATCAAAAACACAGTAATATGAAGACAGATAATATAGGTCATTACAACATAAAAGTGTCTCTCCATATATACAGATATAACTATAATTCAAATATCTACTTGAAAAGTAAAATATTTCTATTCCTTGAGCTGCTTGACATAAAAAAGAGCTACACTTTATGCTTCCTCAGATACAAATAATTCTCAGATTTCCTCAGATAGAAATAATTCTAACGGTGGTTGTGCACACTTTCAGGTAGATAGCCAGATGATGGCCGATACAAACAGAAAGACATATATTGTCAAATACCTTCTACCTACTTCTTTTTTAACAGAGTTCTCAAGAAACCTGTAAGCAGAAGAAATAAAGTAGGCCATAAGATAAGAAATAAAGTAAGATAATCATACTACTAAATGTTGTTGGCTGCCATGCTATCATGTGATTTTTAATTGAAGGCTATTGGAAAGAGGAGCCATTTGAGTGTATATGTGCTAGAAGAGTTATCCTCAGTGATTACAGTAACTCAACCAGTGCCGTGGTTACACTGTTATCATATTTCCTATGATTTTTAGTCAGAATATCCATTTATTGAATATCAGCCAGTCTGGGTCTGCCCCCTGATTACCATGCCCTGCACGGAGAAGAGCTCAGCAGAAGATGAAAGCATGCTTGCCCTCCGGGCGTGCTCAGTTTGGATGATGGCATTCTCTGTACAAGGGTTTTATTTTACCTAAAGTGTTCTATGTTGAACTGATCCAATATCTGTCTGATCGTATGTTCACATGACTTAAAAAACAGACTGCAAAGCAGCCTCTTGGTGATTATGGGTTATCATGATGGACACCCGAGACAACTTCTTTTTCTTTTAAATAAATTATTGGAAGGCCCATTGGGAAAATTGAAATGCCTTGGCTCCTTTTGTGTCTTAGGAGAGTCGGACCTGGAAACCCTTGGTGATCTCGGCAGCTTTTACAGCAACATCGAGCAGCAGCTGAACGAGACAGTGAGACACCGCAGACACGCAGGAGAAAACGATTACAACATCGAAGTGCTGCTGGGTGTGGATGACTCTGTTGTCCGTTTCCATGGCAAAGAGCATGTGCAAAACTACCTCCTCACTCTGATGAACATTGTGAGTAGCCACTCCTTTCTGAGACTTGTCTCTCTTCACATCCATTGCTCTTGGTTTGGCTGGTTTCTTGGGAACCTAGGTTTGACCTTCTATTTCAGTATCCCACCTCTACCCTGCTCAATTGCCATAACTGCATTGTCAGAATGTTGATCTACAGATTCAAAATGTAAAAATGAAAAAGAAAAAAGGAGCATGGAAAAGTTTTAGTTTTTGATTGATCAATTAATTTCTTTCATCCCCAAGCAAGGACAGAAATCATGATTTTAAAAAGATCCCATGGAAATGGAACATAAAGAAGTAGGATTTTCCTCTTCTTGTTGGGTAGGCAAAAATCTCTTAGGACTTTGCCCACCTCTCTTAATGTAGACCATATGGAATAGAACTGTTTTCTTATTGTTGTTTTCCAGCATCATTCTCCATCCCCAGAGGATAAAGTATAATACATGTCTGATATGGCAGATTCTTATTGTCATAATTTTGGACAAGTGTGATTTAGCCATCATAAGGCTGGAGATAAAAATCCTCAGATCACATTTGACTAACACACTGTTGTGCTCATATACAATAGTTATCAAAAGGCTTTCCAGATGTCTCCCCCTTTCTCATTTATGAATTAACCACAGTCCAAAGAAATTTAGCAAGCAAACTCAAATTTATATTATTTGGTTTATCATTTCTATCTTACCCAAATCACAAATTAAGACAATCAGTAATCTGTAAACCACATACTTTTCAAAACTATTTGAGATATTGGTATACACTCTATGTATTTTAATTCATAGCAATACAAACACGCATTGTATTGAAATATTTTGTTTATTGGCTATTTTCCCTCTCTCATTTTAGCATTCTGCCTCTGTCTCAAATGTTTGCCTTTGATATTTCATTTAATTCTCTGGGGGTCATCTTTTTTATAAAAATGGCACGGAGTCCCTATCTGACCTCCTCTGGCTACACAGGTAGAAGAAGAATCCAACTTCACACAAGCCTAAAGCTGATTGCCCTAAGGCAGAAGTCTGAGCCGCCTCTACCCTCCATCTTCCTTGACCCTGTGCATGGATCTGTTCCTCTGGGGACACTCTCCTTTTCTGCTGTGCTCAGTCATTCATTGCAATAGCCACAGATAACTGACAGACGAAATGCACAATTGGGGTTAATTTTTTAGGGAAGTTAACAGGCTCCCAAACGTTGGGATCAGTAAACAGTAAGGATACAGTCATTGGGTGACAGTCATGCCTCTCTTCCTCCAACAGCCACGGGTCTCTCTCTGGTCCTCAGCTTCTCAGCCATTTGTTCCCTTAGTTCCTGCCTCTCTTGGTCAGGACGCCTGTCAGCATTCCACCTCACTGCCACATGGTTTTGGGTCTCAAGTGTACAGCCAGTCCCTCTGCTCAATGCCTCTGCCATGTTAGGGAGGGATGGATTTCCGTTGTACTCTGTTGGAGATGGTTCTAAAACCTTGATGAGCTCATGATTCTCTCTGTCTCTGCATTTGAGATGGTTAGCTCAAAAGAACCACAGAGGAATGCCTTTGATAGGAGGGGTCATTTTGCCTTTCAGACTACTATACCTACAAGGAAAGAAAGAATGGTGACTTGATTCACATCTCTAATAAAGTAGTTACTCAGAATATCTCCCACCTTCATCCTGGCCATTGGAATAACAGAGAGCTCCCTTCAATATGAGACACTAATCACAAGCACAAAGCTAGAATTACAGCACATCCCAAATGAGATCATGGCGAGCTAGAAGGCCACATCACGTAATTGACTACCTCTCAAGAGGGAAGGGAAAGAACAGAAGTCATCATTGGTATCCTAATAAAATTACTTCATAGAAACTTGAGGTCAGGAAAATTGAGTTTTTCTCCTAAAATTTAATACTAGACATTATGTACGAATGATTATTATCTCTTACATTGGTCATGTTTAAAAATTTTCCATGGCTATCTAGCACCATGGTCATAACACACCAGATTTGAGGTTTATAGACACAAAGGTGTTACATGTCAAATATTTTGAGACGGAAATTAGTAAGTAAAATCTACAGCAAAACAATTCTTACTTTGGCCTGATTTGTGGAGAAAAGTGTCACTATGTCTAAGAGCACGGTGCTCTTTAGTTTCATCGGTTTATCTTTTCCTTACCTGAGGAATCAACAAAAAGATTCTACGTGTAGTTTACCTGGTTGTTGATTTTATGTTCTTAATGAATCCAGAAGAAGGTAGTTACTTTACAGTTCTCAAATATAGGAAGTATTTCTGGATCCAAATAATTTGCTTTATGATTTCTCTTTAGTTTAAATTGAATTTTGAGTACTTTTTAAATGGGAAACGTATTAATTATTTGATTTGGGGGGGAGGAAGGTCCTTAAGTTATTAATGGTTAAATGTCTATTGAATAAATGACCAAATAATGTAGGACTAGATATGAACAATCTTTGGATGCATAGGTTTTGAACTTGGGACAACAAGAAATAAGTGTCAAATGAAAGTTTTTCGTCACTATAACTATATAATGAAAGCAGTGCTTAGGAAGTAAGTTAACAATTATTAGGTTTCATAATTATTCAACTATATTACAAGATAGGAAGTATTCACATTTTTCTAGAGGAAACAGGATTTTAAAAATAAGTGAAGTTAAGAAACTGTAAAAAACAGTTTGTAAATGAGTTTTAAATAATCAGAGTGTGGTGGTGGGAATGATTAAAATGACAGTGGTATTAGGTGGAGAAGCTATCTGGGTTAGGAAATTCAAATTATATTTAGTTCTCATACCGATATACTCAATATAAGTATAGCCAAACTAAATTCTTAAGTACAGCACATTTTATTTCCAGAATCATGTTAAATAGTTTTAGTTTATCTACTATTTTAAATTAGCTTTGGTCATTGCCACCATTTTTGGCTGTGATGTATGCATTCTATTTCAGGGCCATATTGCCTCAATGATATTGAGGACTGTGCATAGGAATGTGGGAAATTTGATAGGAAATTTGCCATGCAATTCTGAAAGATTGGGCACAGGATAGGCAGCTCACTAAAACACCTTTCACTTGGTGAAAGCCAAGTGTATAGTTTGAACAAATCCCCTAATTTTGTGTGATTCCCTCAAAGGGGAGGACTATACTCTTCTAATTCCCCACTTCGCTTGTGAATAAGTAAAGAAAAGAATTGTCATATTTTATTTCCTTTTATTTTTAACTCTATTTTATTGATTATGAGGATTTTCTCTCTCTTTTTTTTCTATTTCCAGTAGTGGGAATTTTCATTGATTAATAATAATTGTAAAACAACATGGACTGTTTCCCATTCTTAGATTCTTGACAAGTTCTTATTGTTTCAAATAAGAAATATGTAAAGTATGTTACATATTGCATATATTATAGTAAGAATCCATTAATTTTATTATTTTGTTATATGACTACCTTCTACGAAAGCAGTTCTCAGCTTATGACGTGAGGACAGGTCTCATTCTATGGATTCTGATTTATTGCCCGCTACGTGCCAGGCCTGCTCCTGGAAGCAGCAGTCAGGAGCCCAGACCACACATTGCAGTAGGTAAAACTGCTTCAAAAGACCAAACAAAATGTTGAAAAGCAAGGATGTTCTTTTGAGGATTAACGTGTGCCTGACTCAAGCCATGGTATTATCAATTGCCGCATGTGCCTGTGAAAGTTGGCCATTGAATAAGGAAGACCAAAGAAGAATCAATGCATTTGAATCACGGTGCTGGTGAAGAATATTGAAAGTACCACGAACTACCAAAAGAATAAACAAATCTATCTTGGAAGAAGTGCAGCCAGAGTGCTCCTAAGAGGCAAGGATGGCAGAGCTTCACGTCACAGGCTTCGGACATGTTCTCAAGAGAGACCAGGCTCCGGAGAAGGGCTCTCGCTGGGTAGAGAGGAAAGGCAGTGAAAGAGAGGAAGGCCTTCAATGAGGTACTTGGCACAGTCGCTGCAACAGTGGGTTCAGCTATAAGAACAATTGGGAGGCTGGCCAGGGCTCAGCGGTGTTTCCTTCTGTGGTACATTGGGTCTCTGTGGGTCACAACTGACTCGAGAGCACTTAACAGCAGCCAGCTCTTCTGGGGGCCCTGGGATTGCAGTGCTTTGCTGCTCACCCAGAGTTTAGTTTAGCAGTTTGAACCCACCAGCTGCTCTGTGGAAAAGAGAGGAGGCCGTCTGCTTTTTAAGAGATGCTAGTCTAAGAAACAGTTCTACTGTGTCCTATGGAGTCAGACTATGAAGCAGGAATAGACTGTCCACTTAGGAGGTATTGGCCGCTGAAACACCTTATGGAGAGCATTGAAACATTTCACAGAAAACCCTATGAATCGCATAACAATGGTCAGGATGACACAGGACTGGCCGATGTGTCCTTCTGCCTTAGACAGGGTTACTTTAAGTTGAAGCCGACTCAGCACCGAACAACAACAACAGGAGTTGCAATCAACTCTGGCAATGAGTGTTTTTGTATATAACTCCCCAGAGAAGTCTTCTCTTGTTTATTTTGTTCTACTTTAGAAACCAACCTTTAAATCAGCCTTAGATGAGTACTGACTATACCTAAGACACAAAGTACACAAAGTAGAATAAGACATAGGTATATCCCGTACCATGATCAATGTCTTGATAAGTAAAATGTTACATGAACCAAAATCAAATGCATACCTCTCAAGTGAATTCTGGTTCACAGCAATCCAATGGAGAGAGCAAAACCATTCATTTCCATCTGGCAAGACCTAGGGAAATATAATCTAGGAAGTGATAAAGTATTGGGCTGTGCAAATTGAATAGAATTTTCTAGGCAGAGAAAACTTTCCAATAAGGTAACCACATAAATAAAGTCACAGATACAAAAAAGTACAAAGTATGTAATGTAAGGAAGGCAGTGAATAATTCCTAGAGGTTGAAGTAGACTGTTTTTGGTGATAGTAACACCGGGCATTTATGGAGAAATTATTATGTGCTGGCTAGCAGTTTTAAATCACCAGCAA